TCTCTAGTAAGTACATGTGCCCTGAGACAAAAATCTCTCAAAAAAGAACAAAAACAGAAACCAAAGCCCTGACCTAGAGCGGTGTCGCGAGCCTCCTCTGCAGACGGCTGTGGGGGTCCAACGCACCCGCCCAACCCCGCAACCACCAGAGCCGGGCATGGGCGACCTGGCTGCGCCAACCGTGCCATGGGCAAGGCCTGGCTGCACCGACCAGCATGTCTACCGCCCCACGAGTGAGAGCTGGGGCCGGCCACAAGCCAAGGGCCCACAGGGAAGCAGACCTGAGGCCTGCAGGCCCAGGAGCCCAGAGCAGAAGCAGGGGCTGTGGCTGTGCAGCTGGGAGGGGTGCAGCTCCTGAGACCGCCCCAGGACCAGGCCCGTGGCCAAACATGGAGGGGCCGTCTGCAGGAGGTGAGCTGGAAGGCTGCTCGGCACAGGGCGTGAGCACATCCCCACAACCCTAGGTGACAGCTGAGACCCAGCCAATAGCCTGGGATACAAGGCCACGCGGGGCAGGGGTGTGCCAGAGTGTGCAGAGGCAGGCATGAGCACACGCAGGCAGGGCGGTGCTCAGCCACCCCGTGTCCAGTGGCCCCAACCACGTGGGGCTGAGCCCCACGTGGAATCTGCACTGCAAACCGTGTGCCCTGAGCTTCCTGTGGTCCTAAGGAAAAGGGCCAGGTGCCAGCTTCGGTCCCGGGGGCCTGGGGCCCAGCCGGGCAGAGTGTGCTCTGTGCCATGTTGTACGTGCGGGGCTGCAGGCCGGCGCCAAGCACACAGACGCACGGCCACGGCTGGCTGAGGCAGCATCCCAAGGACAGGAGGCGACAGCAGGCCCAGGAAAAGCAGATGAGGGAGGACCACCTCGAGAGGGCCAGACTCACCCAGGCCCGAGACGCGGCAGTGGGGGAAGAGGGGCGTCCCACTTACCCTGAAGCGGCCGCCACCAGCCCCGTCAGCACGGCCTCCATGGCCCCGTCGGGCACTTGCTCCACCAGGCGCCAGCAGACCCGCTGCCCGAGGCAGCTGCCCTGAGCGAGCGCTGTCAGCCGGGGCAGCAGCACCCCCAGGAGCTCCTCTGAGGGACACACGGGACCCTGAGTAGACAGCCACGCCCCAGGCCCAAGGAGGGACACCGGCCCGAGAGCAGGGACCCGTGGAGTTGGAGTTCAGGGGGCAGTGCTTGCCTCTCCCACCGCCCCAGGACCCCAGGCCGGCCAGCAGGACGAGGCGCTGGGAGTGCACTTCTCCCAGACAGGAAGGACTCACTCTGCCTCCCGCGGACGCACACCTTCCCCAGGAGCCGGGACACAAAGGCGACGGAGCAGTCGGAGCCCTCTGGGACAGGAGGGTGCACACGGCGCCTGACTCAGTGAGAGACCTCACTCGCAGACACACAGGAAGAAAGGGGACACTGCAGGAGGCCAGCACCCTCACCTTGGAGCGAGTCCACGACTGCCTGCAGGGCCTGCGCCAGCGCCTCGCCAAGCCGCGGGAAGTAGGTCTGGGGCAGGAGCTCGGCCGGGCTCTCCTGCCGCAGGCTGCCCAGGCAGTCGGGCAGGCCCGCCACCTTGCTGAGCAGCGTCTCCTGGAGCGGGGTGAAGCCGGGCCCTGCCGGCAGCCGACACTGCTCCGCCAGCAGGACCGCCATCCTGCCCTCGCCCAGGAACGCCACCAGCAGCTGGGCCACCTTCATCAGACGGGAGCTGGGGCTGCAGAAGAGGCTGTGCTGAGGGTGGCCCACCCCACCCTTGGCGTCCTCCAGCCACCAGGACCCCCAGCACGCGGTCCCACAGCGAGCGAGCGTTAGCGTCCGAGTCCATGTTGACAGACACCACCTTCGAACTGTCTCCTAGCTGACCACAGCCGGCCAAAGCGGGGAGCATGTGGCCTGCACAGATGCTCCGGCTGTGACCACGGCCGCTCCGAGGCGACTCGGACGTTCAGCGCAGCCACCTCCAAACACCCAGCTTCTCAGAGACATGGCTCCTAGCCAGGACTGCCCTGGGGCCTGATGGTGACCCTGGGACCACCGGACCTAGGAGCCCACATTAGACACACACCAGCTATGGCTGAGCCTCCCTAGGAACCGTCAGCGGTCTCACGGTGCCCCAAGTGTCCTGCGTCACCGGAGGGCTCTAGTCCCTCCAGTCCCCCGACGGGGGAGACAGGCAGGCCCGCTCTCTCGGGCGCCCCTGGAAGGAGGCTCAATTCTCAGGGAGCATCTGACTCACCCGGCAGCACACTGGAGGGACTCCAGCAGCACCAAGAGGGCCGGGGCGGCCGGGGCCTCCAGGAAGAAGCTGCGGCTCAGCTGTTCCAGCCGGCCGTCGGGCAGCAGCCCCAGCCAGTCTGGGCTCAGCTTGCTGGCCAGACACCTGAGCAAGGCAGGGCAGTGGACCCTGGCAAACTCCTCCTTCTCCCTGGGGAGAGCGGAGCCCTCTGCTTCCCCAAGGTAGCGCTTCAGGGCCCCTAGGCTGGAAAGAATGTGGCCACCGTCCTGGGAAGAGGACAGGGCAAGGATGGCTTCCCGGACAGCGTGTCTGACCGCAGGGCACTCCGGATCCATGCCGCCAGCAGACCTGCAGGTGCAGAGGGGTGTGCAGGGTTAAGGCCTTTCAGAAACCCGGCCGGCCTGGAGTCAGTCCTGGGTCCCCACGCTGCCCAGTGCCGGAGGCTCTTCCGCCAAGAGTCCACTCCCAGCTCGGGGCTGCTGCGCCACCGCCACGCCCCGGGAGGCGATCCACTTGCTCCC